ACTTGTGTCAAAATTAAACTTGTGTCAAAGTGTCAAAATTCAAAACTTGCATAAGTTCAAAATTTGTATAAAAATTCGACTTATATCAAAGTTAAAATTTGTTAGTTCAAAACATGTATAAAGATTTAAAACTTGCAATGGTTTTTCTTTTATTCTAAAAATTTTGGTGTAATGAACACCTGTAGATTTTTTTTTTTTCAAAATTAATATTAAATTTCCCTCATTTTTTAATAGTAAATTGATTGACAATTCTCTCATTTATTCACAGATTGTCAATTAAACATTACAATATTAATTATATTATTAATATTAAGAAATAATTAACCAATAAATGTTCAATATTTTTGTGATACTTGTTGCTTACCCCCTTGTAACACAAATATGAATGTCCTCCAAAATGTTTATTTGTCCAATTAAAAAATTGCGTAATGTGATACAAAGAGAATTGATAAAAATTTTTTAAAACTGAACTGAGAATGACGAAGTGAGTATTTTTAGAAGGGAAGGTAATTTTGAAAACAAAAAATGTCAATTATTGATCATTTTGGTTTCTAATATTTAAAAAAATAGCATTAATAACTCTCCTGATGATGAATTAAGAATATATTATCATAGGTTGTTTCCGTAGTTAAATTATGGAACAGGTATCAATTTTATTTATAAATAATGGTTTATGATGATTATTATTATTTTATTATTATTAATATTTTTTTAGATCATTTTATAATTGGGAGTTTAGTTTTACATTAAATGGAGGTGCATATTTAAGATATAATTCATATAATAGTGTTGAGGCATTAAAAAAGGATATTATAGATAAATGTCCTATAAAAATAGACATTGGACCAATATACACTGCAAGGGTAAATAATATTTTGATTGATCATTGGAAGAGGTGAGAGGGGATCAATCGATTAACTATTGATCATTTTAAAATAAAGCCAGTAGATAAGAGATCCCTTAAACCATCAGCATTTAAGCCAGTTGAAAAGGAATTGGTATTTGATATTGATATGACAGATTATGATGAGATTAGAACATGTTGCAGGTATACATGTGCACATATATATTTTATATACATATACATATTTATTTAAATATTAATTAATTTTAATTAAAGTGGTGGTGACGTTTGCTTAAAATGTTGGAAATTTATGACAATTGCAATCAAGATAATTGATGTTACATTAAGAGGTTAATCAATCAAACAATTACTACATGATTATATAATTAAGAGCTTCCTGTTTTATTCATAGCACACATAATTCACACAACTGTAATTTTCATATTTTGTTCTTTTGATAATTTTGGATTTAAACATTTATTGTGGGTATATTCAGGTAGACATGGTGTTCATTGTTAGGTTTGTGATGAAATTGCCAGAAAATTAAATGACAGTGAGAGAAAGGCTATTGTATCATACTTGGAAGTTATTAAGGTTTGTTATATAGCATGAGAGTACAAAACTTTTTTGTCAATTATAAATCAATATGTTTGCATATACTGTATAGGGTGGCACACAAGCACAGAAAAGAGTTAACCTTGGTGGGTACTTGCATCCTTCCATAAGGTATTTTACTATAATTTAATATAGATGAAGATATACATAATATTCATATGTAATTTTTTTATGAACAACAAATAATTAGTCGATCTTTAAGTATAATAAACCAATATTTTGATGACTTAATATTGAAGGATCAAGATGTTTTGAAAGATGAAAATTGTTGGAATAAAGTATTAGGATGTATTCCTAATGAAGGTAAATATATTAATTAGTAACCATTGAGGATGAAAAGAAAATGAAAATACTTGATATTAAAATTTTTTTGTTAAATATAGAAATAAAAAACACTTTAACAAAACATTGGTTGGAAAACCCATTGCAAACATCTTCAGATAGGTGGAGGAATATAACAGATGAATTAAATAAAAAAAAGTTACCAATGTGTAAAAATGAAATCATCCTTCAATATGCATATCCAAGGTTTGATAGAGCAGTATCAATAAGCATTAATCACTTATTGAAAAGTCCATTTTGTGTACATCCTGATACAGGTAAGATAGATAATTTATCATCATCATCATTATTATTACCATTACTAATTAATTAAGATGATATAAATATTTCATTTTATTAGGTAGAGTATGTGTTCCAATTTTACC